CCTGCTGAGTATACTCCCTGATATTTAAAATTGGGTAAAATGTCTATCTTTTAAGAAAAGAAAACTACACCTATAGGATAGCTGTGAATAGAACACCTTTCACCTGACCAACTTCATTCATAACTTCAAACTCATTTTTTAACACCTTCTATGTGAAACATTGTGAGATCTATTTCTACCTCCATTCCATTCGCCTAGCCAATTTAACCCTTCCTCTGTGCTCCTATAATACTATATAACTTCTGCTATTAGAGCATTTTCCTATTGTATTATATTTTGATTTCCTATCTGTCCATTACATTAGTTTATGGCCGTAAATCTATCTTATTCTCAAAGTGCTATCTTAATGTCTATTATTTACTAAGTATTTTATCAATATTTTTTCCCAACATTTTATTATGAAAATTTTTGTTTATAAAAGAGTTCAAAGAATTGTATAGTGAACACCCTTATATGTGTTTAGCAAATATCTAATGAGTGAGTGAATGAAAGACTGTGACAATTCTCCCTCTCTCCATCTGTCCCTTCCTGTTTGATTGTCCTTCCTTTTTAAGATTGAGACATGGTATGTAACGTACCTTTTTATGCTTTATTTTATTTTCTACATGTGTTAATTTTAGACTCAAATCATTTAAACTGGATTGTTACACTCTAGTTAAGATAATGAAAATAATTACAGTTAGTCTTGATATCTAGTAGAAGTTACAGGACTCAGATCTCAGCCCCCATCTCGTTTAATAATCATCCACTCAGAACAGGATCTAATGTTTTCTGGGTCATGGAGATAGCTATAGACTATCTCCTTAGAAAAATGTACATACTCATATACTCATAATAGATATAATAGATATAATTACCATATTATGCTGTAATAGAGTCATAGTTTTAAGAATTTTTATGGTAGTGTTTTATGCCTTTTCATGAAACATCTTGATCAGTTCTATACAGTAGACCCATTAATACGAGTCACACACATGTAATTTAAACATTTTTAGTAGTCAGATACACATAAAGATATTTTACATTCTTGTTATCGTTGTTGTTTTAGATCTTTAGAACTCAGTACGTGATTTACATTATAGCACATCACAATTCGGACTAGCCACATTCAAGTGCTTAATAGTCACATATGGCTAATGTCCACTCTTTCAGACATTGCAGGTCCAAATTGTTGTCATGTCTGCTTATATAATTTTGTTGGTTAGTTTTCATGATTCATGAACATTTTGGTAAAAGGTGTCAAGTGAATATTCAAAGTCAATTGTAATCCTATTTTCTCGGGTTCTCAAAGAAATCACTCCATACATCTTTTGCATTTTTCTTATTTTATAATATGCAAATTATGATTGAGAACTTGCTAGAGGGGTCAGTGAACATTGAGTCTTAATATTAGTAATGGTTATTATTTTTAACCCATTGGAATTTCTGCGTTTTTTCTTTTTTTGATCTCTAATGTTAGCTTAGAGTTTTCCATTTGTATGACTGGTTTCAGTTTGTCTGTTTTTTGTACTTTTTATTTAAAACTTGTTATTTTTTAATAATAGGGAAATTCATGGCACACCTTCCAATATAAGTCCCAGCCCTTTAGAGTCAAAGCATGCATATTGTGTGGATGTCAATGAAGAAAAGCCTGAGAATGGGAACCGGTTGATAAGCAGTCGAGAAGAACGGAATGTACACCGCTGTGATTTTGAGAGTTCCCAATCATCTGTCATCAATGATACTGTTATTAGGTTTTTAAACGATAGACCAGCAATTGATGCATTACAGAATTCTGAATGTTTGATTAAGATGGCAGCTTCTATGAGAACTGAGGAAGAAAAACCTAATAGAACAAAAGGAAACGAAAACAATTTGAAGGCTGCTGTCAGTAACATGGGCCATAATGTTGATCCAAAAGTGTTACGGCTAACTGACTCTTCTCCATCTTCTACTAGTACTTCTGCTTCCCAAAGATTAGATACCTTAAAGCGGCGACAACATGATGTCAAACTAGAAAAACTCAAGGAGCGGATTAGGAAACAGTGGGAACACTCTGAAGAAACAAATGGTCGGGGCCAGAATCTGGGTCATATTGACCACCCAGTAATGGTTGTTAATGTTGATAACTCAGTGACAGCAAAAGTCAGGAAAGTGGCAACAGCACCACCTGCTCCAGCATATAAAGGTTTGTAAACAATCTTTGTATCTTCCTCTTTCTTTCTGCCTCCTTGTCCTCGTTTCTCCCTAGGATGTACTTGAGTAGAGATGATCATCTTTAGAACAAAGTGTGATTCTCACATCTAGTGCATAAGAAATTAATTCAAGGTGCAGGTTAAAAATGCAGATTTCTGGATGCTACACTAGACCTAAACCAGAATTTCTGGGTCTATGCCCAGCATTGAAATTTTTAACAAGTCCATCAGGAGATTCTGATAGTTTGTGAACCACTATATGAACATTTAATAAGTTGAACAATAGAGGAAATAAAAGTACATTTTCAGAGAACTGAAAGAATATTGATCTTACTCTGCTATTGTATTTGGATTGCTATTAGGAATTTTTTTCAAAAGTAATATTTAAAAGATAATTCAGTCAATTCCAGTTAAAATTTGGTTACAGAATATTTTGGCACTGACATTCGATTTCTGTTATTTTAACTTTCAAATTTTGACACTAAGGGTTTTTCTCCCCATGTTTAAGAAAACAAATATTTAAATCGGATATTGGTAGATTTCCATTGAGAAAATGCTTTTCAGAGAGAATTTCTGTTTTTAGCCACTCAAGTTTTTCTGTATGCTAGATTTAAGGAGTTTGTATTTTTATGTTCCTGAAATTATTTTTACAGGGTCATACATGTAAAGTTTTTAATAAAGAGTTAATTGATTGATCAGGTTAGTCTATGTTAGACTTTTGTCATTGTGGCTTTTCTTTTGTGGGCATTTTCCCAAGTTTTTCTAGATAAATGTATGAAGAGCGAAATATTGTCAAGATTTATTTCTTCTCTTAGTTTTAAGTTATTAATGAGCTAGGACAGTTTTTGCTGTAGTCAACTTTGTTTTGTATTTTTCTACCAAGTCTAATTTTTCTCTGACCACTTTAGTAGTTTTTTTATAGTCCTAAAGTGTCTTTTATCATTTTTTTCTGCAGAACAAATTGTACTGTATACAGTTTGAGCAATTATCAGTTTTGTGTTGTTTATTATGTTTTGCTAGTGATATTCATTCTGAATTAGATAAAAATGGATAATTTGCATTTTATTCTGGGTAATTTGTGATAAAATTGTGAGCAATTTCCTTTAGAGGAGTACTGAAAATAATGACTGTTATCTATGATTGGTCTAACATATTATTAATAAAATTCTTTTATTTCCTTTTAGTTACTTTCGTATCATGTAGTAATTGTCCACACTGTTGACAAAGTAAATAGCAAATAGTGGAGTCAAAGTGTTCTTGTTGTTTCTGATGGTGATTATCCAAAACTTTTGCCGTACTTATATCAGACCATTAAATGCAGATTATGTATTTAAGGTTTGTTCATTCTAGAAGTTAAAGTTCTGAAATTCCAGTTATTCCAGTAAGACAAAGTTAAGTTGGTCAATTTGAATCCATATTTTATTTAATAATTTATAAAAATCAAAGTTAAAAAGAAATAACCCTAAAGAACCAGAGGAAAAATTTTAACTATAACTTTTTTTGAGTTGGTGACTAGATTTTGCATATTCCTTTCACTTACTAATTTTTTAATGTGCTTGTTTTCATAATAAAATACATATGCTACTTTTGGGGAGTTAATTTAATACATTTGAGAAATTACAACAATGTGATTTCAACTGTCCTGAACAATGGATTTATTTTTTTCAACAGCGAATAACTGTTTTTCTGGCAACTTTTGGCAGTGTAAATTTAAAGTATCTTTATATGCTGTATGCTAAAGTGACAATTTCATTTGTTCGAATACATAATTCACTTGGTTCACAAGTCAAAAGATGACAAGTGTTGTGCAAAGCTGTTGTGCTCCAACCACCAGGCCCCCTTTCTGGAGGGTCCTTGTGTTAATGATTTGAGTACCCTTCCAGAGAGAATTCTTGCATACTCGGACAAATGAGAGAGACAGAGAGTATTTATTTTCTTTCTCTTTTTGTACAGTTGTTAGTGTACTAAACTCGTTCTAGACTTGGTTTTTCTTTTATGTTTTTGTGTGCTTTATTTTTTTAAGGAGACATAGGAAGTATTTTATGATTCTGCTTTAAATTTTGAAGTACTGAACTCAGTGTTTATGTGATTCTTTCTTATACTTATTTGATTGATATCTTTTTTTTTTCCCTGGTGTAAATGCCCATGAAGGTTAAGGACCTATATTGGTCATTCTTATTTTATTTCAGAGCTTAGTACAGTGTCTTGGACATATGTAAGTACACACAGTAGACTTTTTATTCTATTTAATGAATTCAACTAGTAAGTAAAAAAGTAGATAAAGAATGGAAATAGAGACTGAGAGACAGAAAGAGAAACTGATATAGATATTGAAAGCTTCTCAAAGTTAACTTATAAGTAAAAATGCAAACATAAAGAAAGACTCCCACAGAGATAAAAATTTCCTAAAGAGGAGAGGAGAAAAAATGATAGGGTTGAATGTAGAGAGGTGGAATGGGAGTGAAGAAAAGAAATGTTGAGATAGCGATAGATGTGCATAGAATTGCCACACTTTCCTTTTTACAAACTGTAGTTTGCAATAGACTGAACACTACTATGTTTATAAATTTTTTCTTTATATAAATATAGTCGTAATCGTGTGCTCCTTGCCACAAATATAAGGTGAAATTAAGTTTATGCTATCGTACCTAAGAGCTGAATAGATTATTTTCTATTAGACATATAATTTACTTACCAGTACATTTTTATCTAATACCTCTAAAGTGCTTTTACCACTTTTCGATTCTGGCTTATTCTTTATAGTGATTTAATTTTACACATACTTATTGGCTGCCAAGTTTTTGTTAAGTTGAGCCATCTGAAAATATAAATCTTTATACTATTCTGGTTATTGTACTTATTATTATTTTGCAAAATAACATTCCAAGTTCAGTGTATTTCTTAAATGGTGATGAATTTGAAGTAGGAAATCAGAATGACAATTCCTAGGAAAGAGCACACATGTAATGTTTGTTGAGAAATTGAGCAAGTGTGTTTTAAAGACCTACTTTTCACACTTTGAGTGCATTTTGTCTATGTAGGCAGCAGCTTGTCCATTTGTTAGCCACAGGCACAATCAGACAGATGGTAGCAGTTAATGCCTGTCTTCAGAGTAAAGAAGAAGAAGCAGTATAGTCTCTCTTAGTCTTGAGAAGGGTAGTTTGTTACTCTGAAATTTATAATTTATGCTTAACATTTTTTATCATTTAGGGTTTCTCCATTCCTAGTCTTTTCGAACAAGTATATATTGCTTTATCTCAATGAAGCTTACCTTTTCCAAATAATATTTATCAGCACATTATGTGGTAGCTAATTATGCATTACTGTCTTGAAAGTCTATTAAGCTGCTCAAAATCATTAGTTATGTGGAAAATAGAAATCCAAACCATGATGAGATACCAGTTCACACCTACTAGGGTGACTATAATAAAAAAGAAAGACAATAACAAGTGTTGGTGAGGATATGGAGAAATTGGAACCCTTATACGTCACTGGTGAGCATTTAAAATGGTACAGTCTACTTTAGAAAACAGTTTGTCATTTCCTCAAAAAATTAACATAGAGTTACCATATGACCCAGCAATTCCACTTCTAGGTAAAATACTCAAGGGAAATGCAAATACATGTCCACACAAAAACTTGTACACGAATGTTTATAGTAGCATTATTAATAATAGCTAAAAAATAAAAACACTCCAAATGTCCAACAGTTGATGAGTAGATAATAAATGTTGGCATATCTATACAATGGATTTTCATTTGACAATAAAAAGGAATAAAGCTTTGATACATGTTATACAGTGGATGAACTTTGAAAGCATTATGCTAAGTGAAAGAAGCCAGACACAAAAGTCCACATGTATGATTCTATTTATGTGAAATGTCCAGAATAGGCAAATCCGTAAAGATAGAAAGTGGATTAGCAGTTGCCAGGGAATAGAGACAGTGGCGTGGGGAGCCACGCTAATGTACACAGAGTTTCTTTCCAGGGTGATGAAATGCTGTGGAATTAGATCGTGTTGACAGTTGTGGAGCTTTGTGAATATACTACATACCACTGAGTCGTACACTTTAAAAGAGTGAATTTTATAGTATGTTAATTATATCTCACTTAAAAAAAGTGTAACAAACAAACTTATAAAGCAACTTTGATAAGAATGTTCTGTATTGTTGATATATATTAGGCTTCAATCCTTCAGAGACCAAGATTCGAACACCCGATGGCAAAGTGTGGCAGGAGGCTGAATTTCAAAACATGAGTAGAGAACTGTATCGAGACTTAGCACTTCACTTTGAAGGTGAGAGTAGAGCTTTCTAAGGTTTTTGAGTGTTTTATCATACATGCTATCTAACTTATATTTAAACATAAAATTGTCACTAAACTAAAGATATTTTTCTTTTCTAACTGTATGGTGTATGTACTTACTAGTGGTGGTTTCAGTCAGAAGGCTCTCATAGCCTCTCCATTCTGCTCCAGGATTAAAATTAGCATACATGGCTGATGAGACAGAAAGGAGGCTATTTTTAAACTGAGGGCCTTTCAGGATAGGACCTCTCTGATTTGAAAGAAATATAACAGAGTCTAGTGAAGTTTACTTTTATTAGACCTCTGAGATCTTTGAAATGGTTAGTAATTTGGCAAGCAGCAGATAAGAGGGTACTATCATGTGAGCAAAATGCAGAAAGAAATATGAACATTATAGGAAGGGAGTAATGTTGGAGAATTAGAAATATGAAGAATGCATGGAAGATTGGAAAAAATAGGAGAGTCGTACTCATAATGTTTTGAACACCTAGTGTGATTTTGGACAAGATGCTGGGTACTGAGTGTTCTGTATTTTTCACAGTTGAGGAATTGGAGACTCCAAAGTTGCATAGAGTAGTTCAGAATTGAAGCCAAGATTCAAAACCAACTCTGTCTGACTGTAAAGCCTGAGATTTTTCTAGTAAGGCCCCATAGAGATTCTTCTAATGAATTTTGTGGCATTAAGTGTGCCTCTGGTTTTCCTACTATTATTACTGGAACATTTTATTCAGAAATTTTTTTCTCATGTGGAGAGGAAGTATAATGTAATAGTTAAGAGCAAAGATTTTTGAGTCTGCTTACAAGCATTCACATTCAGGCTCTGCCACTTACTAGCTGTGTATATGACCTGTGTTACATAACCTCTCTTCCTTGATTTTTCTGATCTGTAAAATAGGGGTAATAAAAATATATCTCATAAGACAGTATCATAGACTAGTAGAATGCCGTTATGTCAGAGAGGTTTGCCTTCTTTCTTGTTATGGTATATGAACTTTTCTACCTAAGACCAAACCCATCTACTTGTGTTTTAGATTCCATTTGCTCTTGTGTATTTAAGGACTTACTTTAGCCCTGTTTCCTTTCTGTTGCATCATCAAGCTTTCTCTCTCTACGAGGTCATGCCTGTCAATCTACTGTTTGATAACATGCTGTTATCTCAGCCATCATAAAAGAACCCCTCTTTCGGCTCGACTCTTCAGCTACAGCCCTCTTGATCTCCTCTTTATAGCAAAACTACAAAAAGTTGTCTTCGTTGTCTCCAATTTTTCCTCCTCCCTTTTACTCATGAATCCTTTCTATTAGGTTTCTGCTCCTACTTCTCTGTGAACTGCTGTTATCAAGATCATCGGTGACTTCCACGTTGCTAAATCCAATGTTTAATTCTCTTTGTCATTTTACTTGATCTCTCAGCAACATTGGACATGATTGATCACTTCTTCCGTGAAACTCTTCACTTGACATCTAAAATACCATAAGGGTTTTGTTTTCCTCCCAAGTCTAGTTGCTCTTTTTCAGTTTTTTTTCCTAATCAACTTCCTGCTCTCTATAAACTTTGGCATTCCCCATTCTCATTACTTGAATCTATCTATCTCACTTCTCTTCCCTCCTTTTTTTCTTTTATCACTTTTTACTTATCTACATACAGACTAGGCAAGCTCATCTAGTCTCAGAGCTTTAAATATTCATTGTTGCTGATGGTTCTCAAATTTATGTCTCTGGTCTAAACTTTTCCTCTGAACTCAGACTGTTATATCCAGCTGCTAACTCCACATCTCCCTTTGAATGTATAATAGATTTCTCAAGCTTAAGATATCCCAAGTGGAGATAACTAACTAAATGGATCACTAAACACCCCTTAAACCTACTCCTCTGGTAATCTCTCCATCTCAGGTAATCTGTCCTACTTGTTCAGGCCCCAAATCTCAGACCTTTTGACCCATACCTTATGTCTAATATTATCTTGAAATATATCTAAAATACTTGACCCACCTCTGTCACTACCAGCTAGGTCAAAGCTACCTTGCCTGGATTACTGCTATTAATAGCCTTTTAATTGGTGTCTTTCCTTCTGCCCTTCTTGGAATGAGTGTATTCTCATCACAGCTGCTAGAGCAAGCTTGTTAAAATTTAATTGAGACCATATTGCTCCTTTGCTCAGAATCTTCCAGAAAAACTTGCCGTCTCATTCTTGAGTAAAACCTGAAGTTCTTACAATGACTTATAAAGCCCTTCATGATCTGGGCCTCAGTTGGTCTCTAACCCTAGTTCTTGCTGCTCCTCTCTTTCTTCACTTTATGCACACTGGTAGCCTGCTAGTTCTTAGACACTTGGTATGCTCTTGCCTTAGGGCCTTTGATTCATACTTACTTCCTCTTTGCTCAGAATGCAGAGCTCTGTATGTATTTTAAAGTACATTTATTCAGATCTGTAATTGAGATTAATTTTCAAATTTTTATATATGATATATTCCCCAGATTGGAATTTAAAAAATTAGTGAGTAGTAATTTATACGTGAAAGACCTTGCCATATTTCACTAGCATAACCATAAAGGGCCTAACTTAGGAATATTATATTGAGCATTTTATGAAGTTTTATTCTAGAAGTTCATGAATATCTCAGTTAGCTAGAAATTTTTAAATGAAATTGAAATCTGAAGAAGTGCTTACCTCTGAGATGCTGTGGCTCGGAAAGCATTACTGTTGCAGCTTCTTCCAGTTTGAGAAAAACGATGTGAAAAAGAGGTCAATTTCTTAAAGTTTTCCTGAAAAACAAAACAAAACAAACAAAAAAACCCCAGCAGCAACAACAGAGAATTGGAACCTAACAGTGGGGTAGGGGTAATCTGTGGACCTTTCCATAAGTAGACTTGGCATTGGTAGCTTACGGCGCATAGACATAGTCTCCTTGAAGATTCCTTTCTCCCTACTTGAGGCATATACTTCATTCTGATTTTTCACACTGGGGGGAGGATGAGTATGTGGGTAGGAATCATTATAATATTTGCTGGACATGTTTCTGCTTTTCAGATGATATCTCTATGAAAGAGAAACCAGCTGAAAAAAGTAAAGAAAAGAAAGTGGTCAAGCCAGTACGAAAAGTCCAAAAGGTAGCACAATTATCAAGTCCAGAATGCAAAACAGGTTAGTTTTCTCAATATCGTGTGTATCCTAAAGTTATATATTACTGAGATGGCATCTACATGGAAATAAATATTTGTTAACTGGATTTTCTCATTGTTTGGCACATATGAAAATTCAGTACATTTTATGTATTATCTCATGTATGTGTATTATTATGGAGGTAGAATTGACATAGCATAAGCTATGCCTATTTAGAATATATAGTTTCATCAGTTTTCATATATGTATTATACATGAAACCACATGTTCACATGATACTGAACACCTTTCTCCCTCCAAAGCTGTTTCTATCATTTTAAATAGAAATTAACCAGATTAAAGAGAATGATTTTTATGTAGTGAATTTTTATATACAAAAGTATTGCTTGTGACTTGTCACTAAGTCTCTTATAGAGAATAAATGTCGCTCAAGCAAAATATGGCAGTCCATGACAATAGTAGTCAGGCTGCACTCTGAATAGATCAACACTGGGAAGAAGAGAATTCCCTGGTTCCGTAGTGATCAACATTTCTGATTCAATCCAGATTGCCCAGATTTATAACAGCTTTGTTCCTTTGTTAAATGAGTTAATTTTAGTGTCCTTCAGTTTTCCCATGTGTGAAATGGGAAAGCAGAAGTACTTCTCATGGGGCTGTTGTGAGAACTAAAATAGTTAATATCTAAAAGAACTCTACAGAACATGGCATCTGGTAAGCATGCAAATGTTAGGAATGATTGCATTAATAATAATTATGATTTTTGTCTATACTGAAAATGGTTATTTAGTATGTCATATTCTTGTCAGTGAGTAATTTGGGCCAAGAGAGAATGAAAAAAGTTGGGAATTTGGCACTTAGTTTGGAGACATTCTGAATCAATCATTCATACATTCATTCATTCTGTAAATATTTTAGAGCTCTCGCCATATGTGTGGCATTGTGTTATATACTAAGCTCAGGCATTAGAGTCGTAAGCGGGGTGCATGTAGTCCCTGCTCTTTTGGATCTTGTAATCTTGTCAGGAAAATAGTAGATACATAGAATAAAACATGATGAATGTACAATAGGGGGTGTACAGTGTTACAGGAAGAAAGAGCAGGAGTGAGGGGCACTGGTTTTTGACAGGGCACTTATTTTCTGGTCATAGACTAAGCAATAGAGTGGTATTAATTTGTGACACCCATTGTTCACTCTAGATGTCAAAAGAGAATGAATGACTCTGTGTACAAATAAAAAATATAATTTTACAGAAGTATGAATCATCTGAATGTAAACTAAACTAATTCTTACCTTAAAAAGTAAGATGTGCTATTTTTCATGTGATACTGTGTAATACTGTTGTCGGGCATAGCTCGAAATGAAGCATTAGGACTCCTATAACACTGAGCTCGGGTTGTAGTTGTCCACTTTCATGGTAGGCTGATTTCCATGTGTGCACTGTGGCAATGACCGAGACAGAGAATCATTAAATGTGCCAAAGCTGTATTAATAGTTTTCTATAGTGAAAGTCCTGTTTTTCTGCCAATGACAGCATGAAACTATTCCAGAAAGCCAAATTTAGAAATAACCACCCAGCATATTCAAAAGCCAACATTTATAAATAACTACCCAGTATATTCATGGTTGCTTGCTTTTGATTCAGAAAATTAAGCTGAAATTGAAGAGAAGAAGCCTGTTCTCTCGTTTTACTAAGGAGCATAAAGTTTCTTATAAATTGAGCAATAGACTTAAAACCTTTTAAATGTTTTAGGTAGACTGTTTAAGGTTAATAACAAGATGCAAAAATATTTTTCTTAAGTAAATAGCGCACATTTATAATTCATGTTTCTTTATAAGAGATGTTTTCCTTAAAACTGTACTTAGATTTAAACTTTTAAATTAAAAGTCCTCTATAAAGAAACTCTAAATGGAATGTCTTTTATTATAAATAAAATAAAATAGCATCACAGAAAGCTCGAAAGATAGAAAACACACAAACTGTTATCTTTAAAGTATTAGTATTATTTTGTGTACTTCCTTATAATAGTTTTAAAATCATAATAGTATGTGATTGTAATCATTGTATACATAAAATTTTCTTTTTCTTTTAGCATGTTTCACAGAACATTCTTTTTTGTAATTTCTTATAGAAAGGGTAATAAAAGATAATTTGAAATGACCCTGTAATTAACTATTCACCCTTCTTCAATGTTTAGGTTATTTCTGGTATTATAAAAACTGATACAGTGAACATTTTCATTTATTTTTTTTCTTTTGAACAATTTCTAGTAAATATAATGCTATTACTTGGATTATTTGAGAAAGGTAAATGAGTACTTTTGGGGTCCCTGACACTTTTTTTTTAAGGAAGCTATATCCATTTACATTTCAATAAGCAAATAAAACGCTTTTTTTGTAATTTTATCAGCATTAGCTATGAATGTAAAAATCTATTTTTCTAATTTAATTAACTATGAATGTAAAAATGTTTTTTCTAATTTAGTTAGCTATAAATGTAAAAATCTATTTTTCTAATTTAATTACATTTAAAGTACTACTTTGCATCTCAGTACTTACATATTTATTTCATGTTTATTTTTTCTGGTTTCTATTTTATAAAGTGTTATGTCATTTGTTATTTTTTAAGTTACTGTCTATTTTGAAACTATGGTCTAATTTTAATATTTTTTTATAATCTGAAAATAGTAAGTGAAAGATTTTCTCCTTGTAAACAGCTATATTTATTGGAACATTCTTTTATTTTTATGAACTTTTATAATTAGGGCAATTGAAAATATTTATATTTGTTTTTTGAATGTCATTGTTTTATGCATAAAAAGTATAGTTTTGGCATGTATTTGTAAAATGTGAAATTCCATGTAACACCATCCCCTCCCAAAGGTAATCCCTGTTAATTGTTTGTTATAAGTTATATATTTCTGCAGATTTTTTTCTGTGCTTAGATTAAGTCATTTGTTTGTTCAGCAAACATTTTACTCTCTGTTAGATACTGTGCTAGTATTAGTAAACCAAACACTTATTATAGTTAAGACATATTTTTGTTCTGTGCCAAAATTGTTGGATTTAGTGCCCTGTTGTTGATGTTTCAGTCATCATTATTAATATTTGGTACTTAATTTTTGAAGCATTTTACACTTATTTGAGATATAAGGGTAAATCAAGATTTAAATAAACTGTTTATTGATTTTGGGGACTTGGGGTTAAAAATAAAAGTAGATTGTAAACCTTTTGACTTTGGCATAAGATAAGCACAAGATTATTAGAAAACCTCTATTCGTAGATATATTTCTTAGAGATAAACTTTAAGTTCAACCCAGTATCTATATATGTGTGTGTGTGTGTGTATACACGAATATATGTATATTTTAGGTAGTAGCCGTCTGATAAGCACATCTTCTTGGCGAGATGGACAAAAATTAGTAAAGAAAATTCTGGGACCTGCACCCAAAATAGAGCAAAAAGAGCGAAGAACAGTATCAAGTGACAGAAGTGGAAGAGAGAGAACTACTAAATCTGGTAAGTAAATTATTAAATTAAATTATCTCAACTAAAATCAAGAAAAACAATTAAAAGCTGCTTTTGTAAGTACTTAGGGTGAAAATACTCTTTTGAGAATGATTTATGACTTTGATTTATAATTGTGAATGTATCTAGAAAAGAAAGCATGTTCTGTTGGACTTGTCTATGGATAATTTCCACACATACGTGTTATGGTGATCTTTATTAAGACTTTTGTTTATGTTATATTAATTACATGTAGCCGTCATTGCGAATAGCAAAGCATCATATAATCCAATATTATTAGACTCTTAGGGACCTTAAGAAAATCAAGTCCAGTCTATCTCATCTCTACATACACAAACACAGGCATACATTCACAAGGTTGAATTTTTTTATTTGGCAGATTAGGAAACAGGTCCTGAGAGAGAACTGACTTTTCTCAAGGGCATTCAGTCAGTGGGTGGCAAATTTGATCTAGTATCCACAACTCTTCAGTTTGACCCTCAAGTCTGTTACTTTTTTTGAAATGTCTTGAATGTTATTTGAAATAACTAGTTACTTTTTCATGAACACTAATTTTGGGAAATGAAATAAAAATACTTACAGGCCAGCTTTCCTTTTCAGCAGCAAAATTTACCTTAATTAATTTTAACTTCTGGAATGAATTGAGGAAGAAATGCAAATGCAACTATAATTTGGTATATAAAAGCCAACATATACTTCGTATTTGCTCCTCTTCGCTTTCATTTAGTTTGTAAATAAACCCACATGTATTCTCAGTCTAAAATTAATGTAGCAACAAATATCTAGATGATAAAATGATTTTTTTTTTGTATGTATTTAATATGTCATTCTTTGGAGAGTTGTGGCAGCTTAACATTGTTGGGTTTTTTATCAGCTGTTTTGGAGGTTTGGGGAAGGAGAGAAATAGTAACATTAAATATGCACAAGAAAGAAATAGTAATTCTCTATTAATAGTTCAGTATTCACATCAATAATAAGATCTATATTTCAGAAATATTCAAAGATACATTTTCCCCCAAATGCCAAGGAAGCATAGTGTTTCCAAAGATTGAAATTCTTTTTCTACTGCTAAAAAAATGGTTTTTTTTCCTTCTATGATATTTTTTAGAAGATTTTATATATTTGAATAAGAGTTTAAGATAAGGTGAAATTCCCTGATTTTCACCTTAGTGCAATAAATCTTAAGAATGAATACAGAATTTTAATACATCACTAACAGTTCATCCTTTGCAGGGAGTCATATTGGGAGAGCAGAATCTGATCCCAGGTTGGATGTTTCGCATAGACATCTCCCACGAAACTCAGAACATTCAAGTAGAGCTCGGTCTGAAAATAATATAAAGAAATTAGCTACATCTCTTCCAGACAATAAGCAGGAGGAAAATACTGCCTTAAATAAGGACTTTTTACCTGTTGAAATTCGTGGAATTCTTGATGACCTACAACTGGATTCTTCAGCTCAGGCTACAAGGCAAGAGACAGGAGAGTTACAGAATCAGAAGTCATCAGCACCAGTACAAGCTTCTAGGAGTCATAGCCCAATAAAAAGAAAACCTGACAAAATAACAGCTAATGACGATCCCCCTGTCATTTCTAAAAAGCGCCACTATGACACAGATGAGGTACGACAGTACATCGTTAGACAGCAGGAGGAAAGGAAGAGGAAGCAGAATGAAGAGAAGAAGGCTCAAAAGGAGGCCACCGAGCAGAAGAACAAACGATTGCAGGAGCTGTACCGGAAGCAGAAAGAAGCCTTTACTAAAGTAAAAAACGTGCCTCCTTCTGAGCCGTCAGCAACTAGGCGGCTGCAGGAAACTTACTCCAAATTATTACTAGAAAAGACCTTGCTCGAAGAGCCAACTCATCAACATGTTACGCAGGAAACACAGGTAATAGTAGTGGCAGAAATACAAAGGGAAGTAATTTAGGGTGAGGAAAAGTCTATTTGCTATACTATTTAAAAATTATCAACCGTTGCTAGTATTCAGGTATATGCTCAGACAGCATTTGAAATAATGAAATTTATAGTATATGAAGAGTAATTTGATAAATATGACTGAAACTAATGCTCAGTATCTTAGAGTGATTGTTACTGATCTCTGTTCATGTTATTCTTGCTAATAGTTATCTCCCTGCCTAGTTTTCATTGTTTACTTAGCAAATAAAGTTAGATTGTGATAATGAAAAGCCTAGTTTTGTGATCTTTGCTGAAATTAGAAAATATCCTAATTTAGTGTTATAATTTTATGAGTATAGCTAATGTTTTAAAGAATATTAAGAGTAACATTAAGTGTGTATCATGTGCCTCATACTGTGTTTTAAAGATGTTAAAGGCTTAAGCTTCAGTGAATTCTCACAACCCTGAGAAGGTGTATATACTATTAGTATTTCTACTTATCAGGTGAAAAACTAAGGTTTAGAAAGAATATTATTTCTTTCAAATTATGAAGTTAGTATTAGGTGCCCTTGTTGGATTTCAGATGTCATTTTGCTGTTAATTATAATGACTGTTTTTAAGACAAACTAAGTTTGAATTGGTTTTATATGAGAGGAAAAAGCCCCTACATTTCATGATCTTTGTTAAGTTGAAACCACTTAATATTTGTCTTCTGTACTCCTTGAATATATCTTTGTGATGAGAGTCAGATAAATTTGATGTCCTTTTTCCTAGACCAGACCAGGGTATCAGCCATCTGGAGAATCTGACAAAGAAAACAAAGTGCAGGAACGTCCCCCAAGTGCATCTTCCAGCAGTGACATGTCTCTTTCGGAACCTCCTCAGCCTCTTGCAAGGTAAAAGGGGAGAATGAAAGATGCTTAAGATGAAATTTATGTTTAGTTAAGAGAATAGCGGTCTGTGCTCAATTAATTAATTTTGTTGACTGGCTTTATGTGTGATCAAGAAAGAAGTTTATTTAGAAATTGTTAATAAATAGTTACTATCTTCTGAGGAATACTTAGGCATGGTTGCATCTATACTTACTATATCCCCTAACATCTATACTTACTGTATCCCTTATTCTGTTTAACTTTTACCTGTCCTTTAATATCCACTGTAAGTGCCAGTTCCTTCTGGGGATCACCTGCAGTTAGAAGCACTCTTACTCTGCACTAAACACACAATAAAAGTTTGTTGGATGAATGGATCACAGTGAAATTAATATTTTAAAGTATCTGTGGTGAATAATTTTTAAAAGACATTTCTGTATACATTACTAGTCATAGTTTCTTCATATGACTTATACCCCAGGAGAATAGTAATACTGATAAAAAATAGCTAAAATTTACTGAGTAGTTGTTAGATTCCAGGCACCGATCTAAGAACTTTGCATGCATTGAATCTTTGTAATTCCTTGAGTTAGGCACTGTAATTCCCATTTTACAGAAGAAGTAATTGAAGCCTAGAGTTTAATTAACTTTCTCAAACATCAAACGTTAGTGGTAGAGATGGATTTGAACTTAAGGAGTCTGATTCCAGAAGCCCGTGTCTTTAACCAGTCTCCACACTGCCATTCAGTAAGTGAAATATTTCATATGATTTGTTTGGGGTTGTCAGTACATTTCAGATTTTAAGCATAAATACATTTTTTGAATTCGACCACCTTTCGGTAGATGCACTCTCTTGTTCATCGCAGTCCCATTACGGTTGTCAGACATATCCTGCTGGCTTCATGTCTTCAATTTTTACTTTTCCCTGAATTTGTTTCTGGCTCACAACAAGTTACCCAATATTAAAAACAAACCAAACATAAACAAATCTATTACTAGACTTTATTACCTTGCATATGTTCCTCTCCTTTCCTTTAAAATCAAATTCTTTGACTTGTGATATCTAGCCTATTACCTCTACTTTCTCTCCTTACTTTCCCCATTTCTGTTAATAATTTTAACACATTTCAGTTACTTTATGCTTAAAAGCACGGCTTTTTTTTTTTTTTTTTTTTTTTTCTAAAAGTCATTTGATTTTCTGGCCTTAGTGAATAGACATTATTTATTCAATAATTTATTTTTTAACTTTTCCCCCCCGAAC